GTCAGATGATTTTTGTCTCCATCAGTCTCCCAAGCCGTCTAGTTCGAGGCTTCTGGGCCATTCCTACCCACCATCGAGTCTCAGCTCAGGAGGGCTCTTCAAGGAAACCCCCTCGCCCACTGTGAATCAGTCCTCCAACACCCCACAGCACCTGGGCTCTAGTTTGCATGTGCTCCTCACATGCTGCTTCCAGTTACTTGTTGGGCGGACACGGTTGGCTCAGTGTTTCGTTGGCGTCCAGCACATGCCTGGCACCTGGTTCGGGGCTTGTCATTTTAGTTCATCATTTTTCCTGCTTGGTAAGTTCCAGTTTCTACTCAACTAACTTAGCCTTCCCAGGGCGAGGATCACATCTTTTCCCTTCTTATGCGCTCTTGTTCTGCCAGTTTCCTGAGAGCCAGAGTAGAATTGGGCGAGCTGCTGGAAGATTTGTGTGACTTTACTGTGCGTTGTTACCGGCGTGACAGCTTAGATCAGAACTCGCACAGCGAGCGAGGGCCCGGGCGTCACTAAAGAGCAGTAGTCAGGCCTGTGCGTGCCCTGCCCGCTGCCCTCTGGCTTGGGAGAGCGCTGGGCACGTGCTTTCCAGCCGACTGGGAGCAGGACGCGCATTCCCTGCCTTCGTACCCGAGAGAGGCGTCTGACGCCAGCAGGCACGCGGTGCTTCCCGCTGCCTCTTCTCAGAGGGTGATTTCCGCTCGCTCGCCTTTTCCTAGAGGGAGGCTCTGGCTTTTCATTCCGGGAATGTGCCTCTTCATTGGGATGTGTTAGCACAAGTTTGGGGCGGCGTACACATGCAGCGAGGGGCTCAGAAATAGTAAATTTGTTTACAGAGACCTATAGACTTCTGGCTACAGTCTATAAATCACATTTTCATATGGAGTTTCTAAGGTTTTGGTGGGTCCTCCTGTGTCATATTCCTAGTAATTACCTAAGTTGGTCCTTTTTTCCAGTTTGCATTTTTCACTTTAGGTATTTACTTGGGGCATATAATTTCGTAATACACCAAGTAGCTCAGTACACTGTTGTAATGTGTAGGAGGAAAAGTAGAAGTATTTCTTAAGCTAACCTCTCTTCTAACGTTACATCGGTTTGTTTAGATTATTAGAATATTCATCTTTTTAAGAATACGGGTCTGTCCATGATGGATGTGTTTTTTAGTGGGATTCCTGCGGTCTAGAGTTAAGACATAGCCTCGCCACCAGGAAAGTGGACAGTTGATATCAGCAGCTCTAGAAAAGGAAATAAAAACAGCAGTTAAACAAAATGTTCAGCTTCGTTCACAGTAAGTGAAATACAGAATCATACGCAAATTATAGAATACCTCTGAGCGGGCACATTAAAAACCATGTGCCTTTGGTGAGAGGAATCAGTGGTAGGAGGTAGGGATGTCTGGTTTTGAACCCTTTGGAATTTTACTCAGCTACATAAGCATTGGAGTGACGTGGATTCCACATATTTAAATAAAACACAGATGTAGGAATGAAAACTAGCTGTTCATTCTGGTTGGAGACTGCCTCTGAATGCGTGTGGTATTCCGGAGTCAAAAGCTATTCGTGGCCATTTATAAACCAGAGAATTACACCCTAATCTCTCACCTTCGTGTGTCCTGTGGCGGGTGCAGGGCCCTTTCCCTTGTATCTCAGTCGATCTCATAGCAGCCTCACCTTTGTTTTAAAATGAGGAAACTGAGACTCAAATGATTTTTGATTTGCCTAAATTAGTCACACTGCTAATTTGATCAGTACACACTGCAGTATATTTATTTATGTGTCTCTTTTTCCTGCTAGGTTCTGAATTGGTGACAGACAAGACTGTAATCCAGGCCCCTGTTCCATTTGGCTGCCATTAGATGAGTGTGGCTCAGAAAGGAGTCAGGGCCATTATATTTCCTAGGGCCTGTCTGGAAAGGGGTGCATCTAACTGAAAATATAAAACAGGATTTCTATAAGTGGTGCCATTGCAAAAGCGTGCAGAGAAAAAATTAGCTTTCCACATTTCATTTTCTATGGACAGAGGTAGATTCCATGCCCCATGTCACCTTGTCTCCAGGATGTGGAATTTGATGCTGAGACACATTCCATTTGAATTAGCTGTGAGCTCCACACTTTTCAGATCCTTCTCGCATCCTTGATTTTCTGCAGAGTGCCAGCAGTAGTTCAGGTGGAACACGGCGTATGTATTTTTAAGGACAGAAATAAATAGCTTTGCCTAAGTAGAATCTTAGAACTCATTTGAACAAGCCTGAGGCCTGTAGTCAGTGTCCCAGAGGCAGCAATAACTGAGAGTGTACAATACGATCAGAGGTTGTAAGTCCGTCAGCACGGACACTTCCGTGGTCCAAGTGATGTTTTGTGCTACTTAAAGGGCCTGTGTTTTCCTTACGTGGTGAAGAGGAAAGAGCCATTCTCTGAAAGAGAAGCCACGCAGGCTATATGGAATTGAAACACGTCTTTTATTAAACAGGACTCTGTGAAACTCTCGAGAATTTTAGAGTGAAGCTTGGATAAATATTTCATGTAACATCCTAAGATGCACTCATTTTTAGTAATTTCAGTGCTCTGATTTCTGTTTGTTTTCAGATTTGAAAAAGCAAACATTTTCTCTGCTGATTTATGTCTGGAAGCTGCCAATTGAGCTCAATTTCACAAGGCTTATCTTTATAAATAAATGAAATCGGATAATAAGGAGCAGCTCTCGTACTGTATGTCTGTCTCTTCAGACAGAAGCAGTGTTGGAAGATCTTTTCTTTCCTGGGATGTAAACCGTGATCTCTGTACAGGCCCTGCCCCTTGTAACCCTCTGGCTCCGCTGACCTTGGACTCAGACAGGCCTTCCCCTCCCGCGCCCATAAGACTGGAAGCTCCTGCTCCAGGCCCCCCTGGATCCTGCGGAGCCCCCTCGGCCATCACCCCCCTGGAGCCTCACCTGCGCTGGGCCCGGGGCTGGTTTTCTCATGGCCTGTGCTGGGCGCCGGCTGGGTGACGGTGGTGCTTCTGAGAGGGTGCCTTGATTTGGGGGCCCTTTGTCTAAATGAGATTTCATAGCTCAGTCGCCATTCTTGCCTATGTTTTGATATCTCGGTGCCTCTTGATACCAACCGTGTGCCAAGTACTCTGCCGGGCAGGTGGGATGTAACGTCGAGCACAGCGGTGTTTGCCCTCGTGGGGCTTGTGTGTTAGTGGAGAGGGGTGGGCGGGAGCGGGGAAAAC